CTTGTATATGAATATGAAAATGAACCCCTACCTGATCCTGGAAAGCGTTGGCTTGCTCCTCAAACCCTGTTGCTTTAAAGTAATTGACCACATCCGCCACAGCCCAGTGCGCGGGGTCAGTAAGCTGCCCATTCTCCACAGAGCTATTAGGGAGTGAAAAATATTCAACTGATGCGATTTAACCATTCCATATGTCTACACAATCTTCCAAGCTATGAGATCACTTTATAACACTTCATCACTTTCAAATAATCACTTTAGGCTTAAATCTGTTTCATGTGGGCTGTAGGATATCACTAAAAGAAGTGTCCAATCAGACATGGTTCTCTGCCTCTCTGCGTTAGTATTTGCTGACATCAGTTTGCCTGAAAAGTTTTTGGAGGGCAGGGTCATGGAGAAAGGGTGTGTGCTCAAATCACTTATTAAATTTGCGCATAAGCTCTTGTGCAGTAAAATCTGCTTCGGTCAAATCAGTGTTGTAATAATATTCTGATCTTCAACAACTGACAGTGCATGAATATTTAAAATAAAATCAATGTGATTATCAAACAAATTGGCAGCAGTTGCCATGCAAACCATTTATTTTCAGTCCCGTTGCCATGGCTCTGCCCTTGTGTAACAAATGAGAGGCCAGGATGTTAAAAGTAGATTTCCTGCACTGTTTCTGGATTCGGGTGGCTCAGTAGGTAGTATGTTGCGTCACAGCAAGAAGGTCCTCAGTTCGAGCCCCAGCTGAGCCAGGTGGTTCTTTCTGTGTGGAGTTTGCATGTTCTCCCCATGTCCAAAGACATCCAGGCTAGGTGAATTGAATATGCTAAATTGGCCATATAAGCGAGTATATTTGAGTGTCCCAGCACCAGTGTTGCACGAGTTAGTGCACTCTTAGTACTGGGTTGTGTCAGGAAGGCAACGGGCGTAAAACCTGTGCCAAATCCAATATGCGGATAATTCCGCTGTGGCGACCCCTTACGGGAGCAGGCAAAAGAAGATGATGATTTTTCACCAGTATTGTACAACACAAACTGAGGGCTGGACTAAGAATTATTTCCAAAAATGGTCAATTCCTTGGAACCCAAATTTTCGAATTCTTAAATTCCCTATTGATTTTTATGTACAGGGAAGCAATAATAATGGATTGCGAAGGGAAGTTCTGCTTTCTGACTCAGAGCCACTGATGGAGCATGAAGATGACTGGTTTATTCCATCAGAGTGGCTGAGTTTGTTGTCGGATGAAATAGGCCTATTAAAGTTATTCACATATTGAGCCCAGGAGGAAGGGGTCCATCTTAAAAAAATCTTTGTTCCGAGCTCAGGTAACTTTCAAAACAGTCTGTAAAGTGTATAAAACAGAAATATTTAATGTGGGCTTAATTTTGTCATTGTATACACTAGATGTGTTGATACGGTAATAAGATATCACAATAATTAACATGCATGGTATTGTTATCGTGGGCACTTCAAAATACTGTGAATAATTCCTTATTACGAATTATTTAGATTTTTAGAGTGCATTTTAAGAATACTTTTCCATCACCCGGTTACATTTCAAACACTGTGTATGCTGTGTCAAAGAGGCATGTGCACTCTGATGTAAACAAGCCCAACACAGATGAGAAAGGCATGGAGGAACGAGTGAAGGAGACGCGCTGAATTAAAATGCACATTCACTCTCTGACGCTTTTATGGGGCAGCAGAAATGCAGCCGTTACCCTGGTAACCCCGCAAACAAAGCAGCTGCTGTTTCGGATCAGTATTTAATTGTTCCAAGCAGCCAATCAGATTTTTATATTCGCTATGGTGTTCATCACAGCATCAAATACTTAATGACTTAAAGACTTAATAGGCTGTCTATTTTTTCAAACAAACATTTTTACATTTAAATCTGGACTAAATCATTCTTTATCATTGTTCAGTAACACTTTACATTAAGGTTATATTAGTATATTATCGAAATATAAAATGTAAAAAAAAAAAAGATATATAAAAAGGGTAACACTTTACAATAAGGTTCATTAGTTACTGCATTAACTAACATGAACTAACAATGAGTAATACTTTTGTAACAGTATTTATTAATCTTTGTTAATGTTAGTTAATAAAAATACAGCTGTTAATTGTTTGTTCACGTTAGTTCACAGTACATTAACTAATGTTATTACATGGCTTGGTTGAATTCTAATGTAGAAAGCGGTCTGTTATTTCTTGATAAATGGCCGCTGCTAAGTATAACACACCGTTGCCATGAAAAACAGAGCCTTGCCATGGACACAGTTCTGTTCACTCGCTCTACATTATCCCGCTTATTACATGGCTACCTACCAAATAAATCAATAATTTGAGATAATAATAACTACTGTAACAAATGTAGCTATTGCTCAATGTTAGATAATGTTAGTTAATGCATTAACTTAACGGGACCTTATTGCAAAGTGTTACACTGCTCTTTATCAGTTTGAAACCTTTGTTTACTTTATAGGCTACACTTGTTTTGTGTTTTGTTTTATGGTATTTAAATGTTCCTAGTTCTTTTTGCTATAAGAAAAGTTATTAAACCTGTTAGGAGAACAACACTTTTTTGTATCTTAATACCACGATAATACAATCATACCATGATTAAAGCTTCAGCAATTATCGTTAAATTAAAATTTGATACCGTCACATAGTATACACTTACCTTTTGGTGTCCACTGACCCGTTTTCCTTGGCTTCCATGACTGCTGGATTAAAAAAAAAATCTCTATGGATTCCGATTCAATACATGCAATTATAGTCTATCATCACAAGCTCCTGTAGTAGTTGCCTAAGAAATACTATAGTATGGGAGATGCTCTATTTTCATTTAATTCATTTAATTCATATTTACAAATTCTGATAAATTCTTGAGGTGCAACGAGACGCTCTGCTTTGATATACACTAATAAATATCTTATTAATCTGATCAACAAGTGATCTATAGCTCACCTGTTTGTCAGAGAGGTGAGACTGCTCTATTCCATTAGATGTGTTCAGTTGTATCCTCATGGCCTTCATCAGTCTCCCGCTGTGCAAAAGTGCCCCATTTTCCATACACTTACACAAACCTCCAAGCTTCTGAATAAATCTTTGTGTAGTCAGAGAATTGATTCTGCAAAAAATAATTAAAAAAATAATAATAATAATCTGAGCAATAAAAAAATGATCAAGCATTCTTTCACTTAACTCAACCGATAATTTAAGCACTGTGATCCTTCAGGTGAGTAATAAACCAAAAAGTTCAGGACCACAAAAGAGTTAAATAGTTGTTAAATAGAGGAAACTAGAGGAAATACATTGTAAGGTAATCTGTCAGAAAATAGCCTAAATCAAATTACAAGCAAATTACTATTTTATTATAATCATTATTATCATATAAAGAAACTCAATGCTGTTTTTAGGTTTGAGAACAGCTTAAATTACATGCGAAAAATATCAGTTATAAGGGAAATTAAAATAAGCGTTTCCCTTTCTGGTTTGACAGGTTCCGTGTCTGTGAAGAGAAACGCGATAAACAAAATGACAGCCATATTTTTTTTTAGCACAGAGAAGTGATTTTTAATTATAAATAAAACATCTAATAATTTATTGTAAGTAAAGTATTTTTAATAACTGAAAAATACCGTATGCAATATATTAGTCTTGCTATAAATATCTGTAACTGTATCACTGAAGCTGTAATCTGATAGGCTAAACAGAAGTATTTTTTCAACAAAACATATATTGAATATATTACAAGTGTTTTTTTTTTGATGAATTTCAACAGTGTGATGATTAATAAAGCAGATGATGAACTCATTAGCCAGCTAGCTTCCTATAACTCCACATTTATGACATTTGCCGTCATTCTAAGAAAACAAAACGACACTTTCCAATTGTTTGGATGAAAAGCTTTTATCTTACCAATTTGTTTTATGATTGGATGATTTATGTAGATGGTTTGGATGTTATTGATTCCCGATCATTGAAACAATATTACGCTTTTTTCGCCCAGCACAATCCGACAAATGCAGGAACGGGGAATCTTGGGTAATGTAGTCTCGAACGATGGGAAATGTAGTTGTTCACAAGCATGGATAGATTTTTAAATCAACCTGATATTTTTACCTGAGAAATCAATGCAACAGAAATAATCCGTTTTACCACTTGATTTTTATCCAGGATTGTAACAGTATTTGACTATTTATTATATTACAAATGCGATTTTCTCTGCAAATCCACTTCTTGATGAAAAAAAGGCAATACAATACAAAACAGGATACTAAAAAAACATCCTAGCATCCTAGGGCTTAATTCAAGTAGGGAAGTAAAATCATTCACAAACATAAGGACAAACAAAAGACAAAGAAAATACACTGACACTTTGCAATGAAAATACACTGGCAATGCAAATCATTTTATTTTATTCAGTGTCAAAATTATTGGTCACAAAATTGTACAGCATGATCTCTACAGCAGATATAAAAATAATAGTAAAAAAAAAAAAAAAACCTTCACATGAAATATCAGGATCATATGATTGAGCTGTATACCATTGTTTTGGGGATCTGTTTTCCAAAGCTGGAGGAAAAAAAACATTTAAACAAACAATTTTACATTGTACTTTCTTTACCTTTTCATATTTCTGAACAGCCACAGACAGGCTTTCTTCAGCATATACACATATTCTACAGTTATCACGGGCACACACACACACACACACACACACACACACACACACACACACACACACACACACACACACACATACGTAATAGAGAATTGAGCTTTTTCATATATTAATACTGAACATATACTTTTCTTTAATGTGTAAAAGACGGGGAAAATGGAGCACTGTTCCATGGTAAAACAAACTGCAAAAGTTAAAAATAGGCTTTATTCAATGTATAAATTAACATTATAAAGTAAAACTTTTATGTCTAATCAAATGTAAAAAAAAAAAAATAATAATAAAAAAAAATAATTAAGGAAACCAGACCTTTAAAAAAAACCCTCCTAATAAAGCTTTTACAGATACCCTAGAACTCCAAGAACTCTTTTGTACATTTCTCTGTGACAGATACCCGTATGTTTTCCTCATCATATTCATCAAAGTTACTTGTGTCTCCAGGCCCTCTGCACTTTGGTATGATGGGAGCATCGACCTGTAAAATTCATGAAGAAATAAAGAGCGGTTCTCAAGATCCATTCAGAAACTTGAATCCTGAAAGTATGAATATGGTGTTAAAGAACAAGAGGCCACACCTTCTTCTCATAGATTGCGATCCAGTCTGTCGTAGCAAACCATCTGTGGTTTTTGATGTCACTAACTCCATTTTTCAAATTGCCGAAGCGCTTTGTGAGGTCCACTTGCAGCAGATTGCGCAGAACATCCTTCAGGTCTGAACTGAAGTGTGAGGGGAATCGTACCTGTGCAAATCAAGTATTCACATCTGAATGTTTGATATTTATCCAATAATCTCTAATTATGTTTTTTTTTTTACATGCATTGTTGTAGAAGTCAGGAAATGTTGAAAACATCTCTAGAACTTTTGTGTGTCAAATACTCCTGTTAACATGTTTATTCTGGTCCCAAATATATGATGACATGATATTATTTATTATTATTATTTATTGAATACTGATGAAGCAATAAAGTTTGTGTAAAATAAATAGAAATTGTGATATACTTTAGATATAGGGCCAACACTAAGAGGGAATTCCACTGACAACTATACTGAAAAATAAATTGTGCTAAAAAATGTGCAAACAGCCACTCAGAACACCTTAACAATGAGCAAAGCAAAATCCTGGCAACTACCCAGAATACTCACACATTTTGCCACTCACGACTCAAATAAAATTTCAATAAAGGAATCTATAAAGTATCATTTAGTCAATTTTCCTCATCCTCTCCTTGGCTCATTTGGACCCAAAAATCATTTTCTTTTCATTTTTTAAAATGGAGTGTTCATCAGAGTGGTCCAAGACCTTAGGACTTTTGTCACATTTGAACTTGGAACACACACACACACACACACACACACACACACACAGGATTTGAAGAGTTTATGTGGTTGTAATAAAAATAATAACAAATCCTTCCTTCGCGTGCGAATTTGACCACCATAGAAGGAATGAAAAGGGATTTTTTTAAATTGATAAAAAAAAAAGGGGAAAACAAGGAATTCCCTAGGAATCTCCTAGATTTGAACTCATCTACAATGCAGTACAATTATAACAGCATTTTCTATTTTTGTACCCCCCAACCCCCGCCCCCCGGTGTCCACCTTACTATCTTAAATTATCAATATACACTTCAGACATGCACGTCAGTATAAACACTAACCTAAAAATGCTCAAAATTAAAACATGCTAAAACCATACCAAAAAATGATTTTATAATGTCTAATTTGTAAGTCGCTCTGAATAATAATAATAATAATTCATCAAATTTATATAGCGCTTTTCTGGACACTCAAAGCGCTTCACATAGAAGGGGGAATCTCCTCAACCACCACCAATGTGCAGCATCCACCTGGATGATGCGACGGCAGCCATATTGCGCCAGAACGCCCACCACACACCAGCTTATTGGTGGAGAGGAGACATAGTGATGAAGCCAATTGGTACATGGGGATGATTAGGAGGCCATGATGGACAGAGGCCACTGGGCAAATTTGGCCAGGATGCCGGGGTTACACCCCTACTCTTTCGAAAGACATCCTGGGATTTTTTGTGACCACAGAGAGTCAGGACCTCGGTTTAACGTCTCATCCGAAGGACGGGATAAAAGCGTCTGCTAAATGACTAAATGTAAATGTCTAAATATATACCTGAATGCATACTGAAGAAAAAAAAAACCTGAAGAAAAATGACTTAGGGACCCTGGGGAACAGTACATTTGCACCATATATTATAGAGCTATAAGGCCATCTAGTGGCAAGAGTTATGAAATATCATGTATTTTTTTTCCCCCACAAGAGGTCGGCAAAGACACCCAATGTTAGACCTTTTAAAGAGTTATTTTGTATTTAAAGGGGTGCCCATTTTCCACAAGTTGGAAATGACGACCCTGACTCTTGACGACCCTGATTCTTTAGGGTCGTCATGTAAAGTTTGTAACATACTAAAAATTATGGTTAATTTTCCTCAATAGTTGTATAAAACAACACCATTTTTACCTCATCAAAAACAGCTCTGTTCACAGCGACCGGTTTCGGTGCATGTCTCTTTAAATGATAATGAGCAACTGCTCACCAAAGAGTATAGAAGCACCTCTATATATGTAGAGGTATACTCTTTGTGCTCACCCCACCCCTCTCCTTCGTGGGGCGTGATGACACAAGACACGTAAAGTGCTTCCTTGACAACCTGCCTTGGCAGACAGTATACAAATGGCTAAGGGCGGAAATATGCTAATTCTGGACAGTCCGTCAGTGGTCGTGGGCGGAGCATGAGCAATATGACATCATTGAGAGTGTTTAGGCTTTTTGAGGATTAAAAAAAAGGAGTGAATGGACTTTTTTCATTGTATGGTGGTTGTGTCCACACACTGCAAAGACCAAACACCATATAAAAGTGAATTTTGCATCCGATGACCCCTTTAAGTGAAAGAATGTGCAGAATGTGCTTAAATTATTTTACTAAATTAAATTATTGATAAAGTCTAGTAATTTAGAGGTAAATAAAAAAAAATATATACATCTCCAAAAAATGCATTAAAAAGACAAAAAAATATAAGAATGAAATGATATAAGCTTTCTGGGCAAAAAAATAAATGAATAAGTATAATTTTAGGACCCACGAGGGAAGGAATTGTTACAGGTATGGGAGGAGAGGATGATACATATTCATTATATGTTGTTTTTTTCTTTCGTCGAAATTTTTTAATTCTTCTTACCTTGCCAGATACGATTTTCTCATAGATCTGAATAGGTTGATCCGCGAAGAAAGGTGGATATCCAGCAGCCATTTCATAGATCAGAACACCCAACGCCCACCAGTCAACAGCTTTGTTGTAGCCCTATCAAAGAAAAAGAGCAAACACTGAGACCTCGTTGAACTCCTAAGGAGGAAGAACTACCGGCGTGTTTTCTTACCTTGCTGAGAATGATCTCTGGTGCCAGGTACTCTGGTGTACCGCACAATGTCCAAGTTCTGCCTTTCACTCGTTTGGCAAAGCCGAAGTCTGTTACCTTAATCACATTCAAACATATAAGAGTTATGGATGAAGCTAATTAAAATAATGTATAATTCAAGACCAAAGTGAAAGTAACATTTTATCGGAAGATCAGCAGCCAAGTGACTGGCACACCTGGATGTATCCCTGATGATCAATGAGCAAGTTTTCAGGTTTCAGGTCCCTGTAGATAAGGTCTAGAGTATGAAGATACTCGAACGTCAGAACAATCTGAGCGGCATAGAAACGTGCATTCTGCTCACTATAAGGAAAAAACAGTTATTTCATTGATAAATTAATGTAAGAAGGCTAATAAAGAGTTTTTATTAGTTTTTAAGCGGTTCACCTGAATCTTCCAATCCGTCTCAGATGTGAGAACATCTCACCGCCTTGGATATATTCCATGACCATGTACAAATTTGAATTATCCTGTTGAGGGAATTGTTTAATGAAATTAATTTTTGTTTCACATTTTTGCAGTAGCCTTGCCAATGATTCTTCCTACAAACACACACTTTAACATTGTCTTTCTTCTCAATATGAATTGCTCCTGTACCTTAAAAGCGCACTCCAGCTTCACAAGGAAAGGAAAGGAAACTGCTTGTAATATTTTCTTCTCATTTAATGTGTGTTCTATCTGTTTGAGCTTCACCACCTGGAAAATCATCAAAAGCAGGGATTAAAAAAAAAATTGTGAGAAATAATTAATAATATGAAAAAAAACAGGCAATAATTTTTATTATAATATTTTAATGTACTATAAGCATATTTTACCTAGCAGTATAAATAGGGTACAAGGGGGATACATTTCTAGTCCCAAAATATATAGTAAAATTCTGTTTTATTTATTTAATATTAATATAAATATTTAATATTAATGCGGCAACCGCATTACAAAAATAAATAGTTTAAGAAATGGATATAGTAAATTTCACGGATTCTCATTAGCTACATTCATTTTTGGTTAAAATAAAATAAAACAACATTAGTCTTGTTGTATTTCTATGTAAAAACAAGCAAAGTTGTGATTTTAAAATACCGATTTTTAGAGTGACTGCAAAGCCGCTGGATCCAGACATGATGGTTCTTTCTTCAGACATTCCAACGCTATCTCACAACCAATTCGTAGGTTTTTTTACGAGGTGGCTTTTGATATTTATTCAAATAAATTCTAAAAATAATTTAATAAATATATTTTAAATTAATTTAAGTTTGAAACGTGCACCAATGTTGTATGCAACTTTAGAGACGGTCCTTAAATGTGCGAATGTCCAATGTCAAGCCAATTTTACATTTAGGCTATGTAACATGTAATCCAAAGCGATTTACAGTTAAACTAACAATAGGACAACAATATGCAAGTGTTATGACCCTTCCCAGTATAATATAATGCAGTACATGTAGGCATACTTATATACTGTATATATATATATATAGAATAGAAGAGAAAGTGTTAGTATTAATTGATCAAGTGTTGATTTTATGCCAGTATATCACTGGACATGAAATATCGCTCAGCATGAAACTTTGCGCGTTAAGTTCATATTCTGAGTCTGCTTGCCTGTAGCCTATGTACAGCCTACATCCCCAATAAGGAGTTTGGTCTTTTATATCACTGTATTAGTCCATTAAGCTATGATATCATTGATTATGGTGAGGTATTGAGGGAAACCGATTATAATCCCGTTCAGAAAGCTGATAACATGTAGGCTACTGCAGGGCAAGTAACAAGGAAAGTTATTTAATTAAACATAAACACAGCTTTTGTGTATTTATAATCTTTTCCGTATATATACCGACCCAGATAATCATCACAAAAACTTAATGCATGCTCAATTGCTGTAAATGAGTTTTTATGAATGAATGGCTTGCTCTAACTGTTGCTCGTCTTCGTCAACAACACGCGCTTGCACTCCCTGCTGGTGTGGACGACTAACAGCAGATGGGGATTATGCTCGGTAATCTACTGCTTTTCCTGCAGTTCCTGGATGTCAACGTTGAATTTACTGTCGAATTTGAACCACTGAATTTGAGGAAGCGAATTTGCAAAGCGAAATAAAATGGACCGAAAATTGCCTGTTGAATATTATAGGTTGTATTTTTAAACACTTTGAATGTTTTGGAAGTGAAATATGAAAGGTGAATAGGCCTATGGATTATTGAATTCTTAATAATGAAAATGTGTTTGAAATGTTTTGAATTGAAATATTCACAGCTTAAATATTCAACCATGTTGAATTTCAGCCCATAAAAATGCAAGCCCTAAAAATACAATGCATTACAATTTAAGCATGGTTAATGCAATGCCTATTTTTTTTTTCAAGTAGTGCAATTCAACAGGCTTTTTTGTTTCAAAAACATTTGTACGGTGGCCGCGCTGCAACTGAAGAAAACACATGCAAATAGAAAAAAACACGTGCAAATAGAAAAAAACACCCGCAAATTAAGAAAACATCTTCATCAGTTTTACAACACACGTGTGCTCCAAATACTCACAACACACAAATACAGAAACGCGCTGCAAAAGCTCACAACACAAATACAGAAACGCGCTGCAAATAACACAGACCACAACGGAAATGTTTCCAGGGGAACCAAATAAGTGACGAACCTGGCTGGGACGTGCTGGCATAGATATCCATAAATCTATGCGTGCTGGTGCTTACAGCTTAAAATTATACTTTATTTATTTATTTAGTTATTTGTGCAAAACATACAGAGATTACATTTTTTTATGACATACAACTTGTATACAATGTACAAAATGTATTAACAATATGTTCAATGTCATCAGAATACAAATGAGAAAAGAACAATGAGCTGGAAACTAAAATAAATAAATAAAAAAGATAAAGAAGAAAAACATGAAGGAAAGATATTTATCTATACATCAGTTACACTGTACAAATTGTTTCATGTTATTACATTTTCATAAAGAAAAGTTTCGTGAGAAATGTTAGGTAATGTAGGGTCCAAAATTTTAAAGTTAAGACACACAGATATATACACACGCATATTTTAAAAGCTTTTTTGTAAACTAAAACTAAAAATGTATTTGCATCCGTTATGTTAACAGCATTATATTTCTTTTGTAAGACCAGCTGATGGACACCGTGCTGCGTTGTCATGGGAACATCCCAGGTGAAAATAATGAGGAAATTACGTTGTCTTTCGTTGCTCCCTTCATCAAGTGCGTTCCACACGGCTGCCTAACAGCACACTAGAGCCCTGCTCACTCCACAGTCCCACTTTAAGGGCTCTGCAATCTGCCCTTCGAAGGGAGTATGGCATAGGGAAGCTCACGAGCAATAAGCACGTCTCAGCCGGGTTCGTCACTTATTTGGTTCCCCTGGAAACATTTCCGTTGTGGTCTGTGTTATTTGCAGCGCGTTTTCTGTATTTGGTTGTGTTGTGAACTTTTGCAGCGCGTTTCTGTATTTGGAGCACACGTGTGTTGTGAAACTGATGAAGATGTTTTTTTTAATTTGCAGGTGTTTTTTTCTATTTGCACGCGTGTTTTTCTATTTGCATGTGTTTTTTTTTCTATTTGCACGCGTTTTTTTCTATTTGCATGTGTTTGCTTCAGTTGCAGCGCGTTGAGCTGTCTTGGCCACCGTACATTTGCCATTATTTTACTTCCATATAAACTCGTCCGAATTCGTAGGCTACCATTTGTCTAAACCCCAATGATGGGTAAGGGGTAGGTCATTCGTACGAATTCACACGAATTCGGCAATTTGTAAAATATGTAGCCTATGATTTAGCCACCTCGTAAAATACGTACGAATTGCCGTGAGATCGGGTTGGTCATTCACACATTTCGCTTTTTCTTCTTATTTGTCAGATCGGAGTCACATAGCCTACACATATACATAAACAATAAATAATACAAACAAACATAATCCCTTTCGCCAGCTCTAACGTTTCCATGCTCAATCCTCTCATGATGAATCCTCTCATAAGGCACATGATGACACTAACTACGTTTTTAGCTACACGACAACGATGTAGTAATTTTTTTTACTAAAAAGTATACAGACGACAACGTTTTTATAGACTGAACACGTAATACACGCATGATGTTGCCGTTTTCAAAAATTCGTAAAAAGTTTTCTGTTTTTAGTTGAAAACAGTGTTGAGTAAACGGCCCCTCAAACAGTCTGATTACGTGACAGTCATCAGTGGAAACAACATCATGGCTCACTGTGGTTTGGTCCTGGCAACAGAGGAAGTTTCAGTTTCCTCTCTGTTATTTTTTACCATTTAACATTACATTCTGACACATGAAACAAGGCCCAGACCAGCCAGACACAATTAAACTGTCACATCTGACCTGTTTTTGATTTTCTTGAAATTTGAAAATGATAATCAAGCAAATTCAATGTTTAAGAAACATAAAATAATATTTTTAGTTTTATGTCCTCTGTAGAGAATATCTGGACTCAGTTGTTAGGAAATAGAGTACAATTATGTTTAAAATACATGCTCATTTTCCTTCACAAATCTTTTTTTTTTTTTTTTTTTTTTAGCTAATAATGTCTTCTGTAACCCTGATAAATGTTTTTGTTACGGCCGGGTCAGGTAAAATGAGTAGAGGAGGGATCTAAATGCAGCACTTTACTATAACGATAAAGACGATAATCCACAAGAGAAACAATGAAGAAGATCACAGGAGAAACACGCGACAGCATTGACAAAGAACTGAACAAACTGAGTGCCTTACACAGGATAATGATGAACTAAACAAGGAGTAGGTGGATGTAATCAATCAAACAATGAGTAATGACAACAAATGAAACCATGACAATCAAGGAAACAAAAAGAAAACAGGAAATAAGTATGTATAAACTATATAGCTGCATCCAAAATCACATACAGTCAGATTAGGTACTACATTTGAATTTGAACTTACTTTGCGACCATTAAACAATATGTTATATATATATATATATATATATACATGCTTATACACTACTCTTACAAACTGTTTTTCGCATACTATCGATTTCGGATGCAGCATAAGAGATACGAAACTGAAACCAAAACCTAAATGTCACAGTTTTAGTATATCATAACCATAATTTGTGTAAACATGCTCAAACATGCATTTTAGTGTGGGACTAGGCTTAAGCCTTGTCTGTGATACCGGCAATAATGCCAAATTTTGTGAGGAGGCTTCTGAGCATGCTCAGTTTGATGATAACTGATCACCCATACCAATCTTGAAAAACTTGTTAAAGCATGGGGACTTCTGAGCAAATGTAAATATTTGTTATTCAGAATTAATGTATATGTTTTAATAAATGTAATACATTTTTGTTAAAAATCACCATTAGGGTGATTAGTGTTGTTCTTCTTTGTGAAGTTTCTTCAATTTTAGTGATTACATTATTTTGGTGCATAGAAGCAGCCCTACATAACCTTTGAGTTTGTGCCAATACCTGCAAACTGCTTGTTTAGTGGAAAGGTTAGTAATATTTGCATTAGTAATGTGCAATATTAATACTCAGCTTGCAGGCAAAATGCAGGCTTTTTTTTATTGTTGGTAGTTGATAGAACTCATTTTTACAAGTAATTTATTTATTTATTTTTACAGTGGATGTCCTTTTCAGAGGACATCTGATGAATCAGTGTCTTCATTGTAAAACCATACTCTTCTTGGAAAATTTAAAAATAAATATTTACAAAATTGTATGCATTTTGCTCTGAAAAGCTCAGTACTCTTTAAGAGACCTGTTGTTAAATAATAAGTCTCAGAGGAATTAACAAAAACAAATGTCTTCTACAGAGGACAAATAGCAATTGCTGGGTCCTGCAAGAGGATATACAGTATGCATACTCACTTTTTGCCTGTCCAGAATCTTCATAGCATAGTATTGTCCCGACTGTCTGTGCTTGACTAGCATTACTCTTCCAAAAGATCCAGTCCCAAGAGTTTTCAGTCTGTCAAAGTCATCAAGACATGATGTGTTCTGCAGATCCAAAGGCAGAGGACAACAATTAGTTCTGCTGGAGAAAAGGGACTTTGACTTTGATGTTTACTGTAATAAAGCTCTCATACCTGTGGCTGACTCTCCCATTTAATCAAAAAATCTTCTTTGGCTTTTGTCAAGACTTCTTTCACTAAACGTAACAGATTACAGAATTAACATCAGTGGCAAAGGATTGCTCTCTGCTTGTTTTTAATATAAACCATAAATTGCTTTGTTTGGAATACATTTTTTAACATTTTGTTAACTTAATTTTAATTTGTGCAATCAACTTCAATTTGTAACACACAAGTTAATGCATTTAAATTGGTTCTAGCTACTGTATGAATCCTTCTGTTAGGATTCCCTGGCCAGGGTGTTTCTAGCTTCCAGCATGCTTTGCAAGGGATTGGATGGGGAGAATAAATGTTGAAATGAAATGTCATTTTAGGTTTTTGAGCAAGAAGAAGAAGAAAAAAAAGCAGGAAACCTCAGTGGAGTCAGTGCACTTCCTGCCAACACCATGTTAGACATAATACAAATTAAAATGGTAACACTTTACAATAAGGTTCATTAGTTAACATTAGTTAATTACATTAGTTAGCATGAAGGAATAATGAACTGCACTTATGCAGAATTGCATTTATTCATCTTTGTTAATGTTATTTTCAACATTTACTTTATTAAAATCTGGTTAACATTAGTTAATGCATTGTGAACTAACATAAACTAACAATGAACAGCTGTATTTTTATAAACTAACGTTAACAAAGATTAACAAATACAGTAACAAATGTATTGCTCATGGTTAGTTCGTGTTAGTTAATGCATCAACTAATGTTAACTAATGAACCTTATTATAAAGTGTTACCATTAAAATATTTAAAAAGTGTGTGCTATAGCTATAGTGAATGCTTTTTTGGGGATATTCACTTCAGGTAGGTTTCTGCTACACAGAGTATTTGAGTTGAGCTTGCATGGCTATTTCATGTAAAGAAAACATTACACATATCTCCCCTTGACAACATTATAAATGTTTTCATAAAGCCAGCTACAACAAACATTACAATATATATAGGCCTAAGGATTTTTGATGGATATCTTTTATGAGGTGCAGGCTGCCACTTGATCATGAGATTTGCATCTGTTTGTCAGATGTAACAGGGTGAATTTGGTTACATTTTATGTTGTAATTTCGCTGGAACCAAGAGTGTTGTGTCTATAAATACAGATATCAACTGTGATAGCTGTGTGCAGGGTGGCCTATTATCGGGTCTGCTACGAACTAGGAAAGATAATAATACATGTCATGCTTTAACAGCCACTAAGTGAAACTTCAGGTTTGTTTGCTTCTGTGAGAAGACTTGTTTCTCTTCCTGTTAAAACCACAAACCGTCTGACAACAATCAAACTGTACAGAAATATATGCCTTTAGACAAGGCTAACACATTTTACTCTCATCAGATATTTACAATAAAAGACCTACATCACATCATATCCTTCAATCTATAATGGTTGAGAAAATAAACCAGATATGCTGGTTTATGCAATGAGTTAAGACTTGCAAAGAGTAGTTTAAGAAAGCAGGAGTGCATTGAAACAACATTCATTAGATCGTTTATTAATTTCAAATATATATCTGAAAAGGCTTAGACTTACTTGTTGCGTCCCAAAGGCCAGTGTACTCTGACACATGTGGCCCTTCATTCTCTAGTCCTTTCTCCTGGTTTCCTTTCCGGTATTTGTAAAAAAAACGGCTAGCTAAAGTGTCCAGTCTGTGAAGGGCAGAGTTAGTGCCTGATGACTGCCCAAAGTTTGGATCTTTTGTCTGGGCCATCACACACGCACTGTTCATACAGGAGGAAACTCTCTAACTGGTTGATAACCACAAATGCTCTTCAACTAAAGTCTCTGGAGCACAGAAAAGCCATAGTCATTTCCTGTTTGAAAGTAGATTGACAGAGTCTTTGTCTTACCACCAACTGAGCTACTTCCTGATAGAATATGTGTTAATGAAGAAGTAAATACGGGTCATCAGGCCCTTTGCTCAACATCCCAAACAGTGGAGGAAAAACAAAAAAGACCCTCTGAGGTTCCAAAGGCCAACACAGGGAGAATGTAGGCTATTGATTCCCACTGACAGATAACTCGTCAATACTAACCTAGAAATCTTTTACTTATTCTCAGAAAATACAATTTCTTTCTTCTGCAGCTGAACACAAATATATTTTGAAGAATGTTGGTAACCAAACAGTTAATGGGACCCATTGGTTTTCTTGACTTTCATTGACTCCCCCACCCACCTATATTCTTCAAAATATCTTCTTTTGTGGTCAGCAGAAGAAATAAATGGTACAGGTTTGGAACAACTTGAGGGTGAGTAAATGATGACATTATTTACATTTTTTGGTGAACTATCCCTTTTACGTAAATTTTATGTCAAGATATGCTATTGACCATATCATTTGATAAGAAAAAGTGTGGCTTAACTTTTCAATAAAAATGTGCCTAATGTTGTTGCTGTCATTATGCGCTCTATAAAATAATCACATCAACAGGTTCATCAGTGTTACTCAGTCCTGACTTATGCAATTACTCATGTGAAGTGTGATTATTGACTTGTATTATTGCTATTCATCACTCTAATTCACAATTCAAACTAAGTTTCCCCTGATAAAATCTCCAAGGTAAGTATGGTAACATCAAACAAAAAACAAACAGAAAACAAACAAACAAACAAACAAACAAACAAACAAACAAACAAACAAACAAACACGTGTGCACCTTTGCAGGCAGTTGCCATTAGACATTAGACAAACAGAAGTAAAACAATAGGCCACCGCCGTGTCCGAACGGTTAAGTCGTGGCGCCATCACGTGGAGAACAGAAGGAATAAACTTAAGTGATGAAACACTTCTTAGTATTTTAACATTTTGTCTATCCACATTAATTGGCCAGTTTATTAAAATGCACGACTAAATGATTGAAATATCATTCAAACACAAATGTTACAAAATTACTAATAGGCTAGGTTGACAAAATACATTAAACATTAAACACCAATAGTTGTTTGAATATTAAGTTTAAAAATACAAAAAAGCAAAATCTAGCTGTATTTTATTTACTGTAAATTTTAAGTCACCTTTTAGTTTTTAATCTAATGTCACAGTAGCCTAAACTGTGGAAAATGCTTAACAATTTAATTTTGTTCATAGATTGGTTTCTGTTAGGGTCACATAATAACATTTTATGAAAAAAAAATGATCAAATTAATTTATAAATAGGAAATGTATAATATGTATTATTTATTAGCATCTTTATTGATATTAGTCATCTGAATAAGAACCCGGATGGAAACATTGGTTTGTTGCTAAGAATCCGTGCGCTCCGGAAGAGTCCATGTATTTCGCAGTGGGGAATTTTGGTCACTCAACAGTAAACTTACACGCTAAAGAATGCCCCTTAATCATGTAGTAATACACAGCCATTTTATAAAATTTTATAGGCAATAAAAATGTCCAAACTCTGGTTAAATTATATTGTGTTATTTATACTGTGTAAAGAGCATGCAGTCCATGCACCCCTATCTGAAGAATAGGTCGGTCCATCTTCATCGTACACTTGCGGTAACTGGACAACATACAGAGCAGATTGAGGGCTTTCATTCAAAGCCAAACATTTAATTGAAATGTTAAAACGAAATAATATTAATTAAGGTAACAAATAAGAATTACACACAAACAAACAGAGAAAAGCGAGGAACAGCGACATCATCGCAGACAGAGAGACAGAAGCCCGTGTTTAGGTAATTTACTCAAAACCTTCTCATTTTCATCATCAATGATCTGATTACAGTGGTCACAAAGTTTATACAAAATAATAATGCTGTTGACATAATTATTCAATTGCTTGGGCTCAGTCTCTGTAAGCTATCTGGCTGTCTTGTGTGTCAGAATGCGGCGCATCTCTCATCCGCATCTACTGTTTATAAATAATGATAATTTGTCACTTTAATAACATGCAATATAGCCTAAGCATTGTTGACAAGTTCGTTGTGCAGTTTAGATGAACAGATGCATAAATCCTGGCAATGCATTACCGGTGTTTTATCATCTGGGCCTCCTTGCATCAGTGGATCTTGCAGAGAAATCAGAGGCAAATGAATCACATGACAGCGCGAAACACCCTGTATAACTGTGAGTTAGAAGGAGAATGAACGGAGAAAGGCACGTGTTTGGATGCAGATCTGGTCTTCTGATCATCCTCGTTATATGTGGCCTACACTACACACAGCACAGGCCAACACTTCCATCACATAATGATCATGAATTAACCTGTGCACATGAGCCAAGAACAACAAAAGATCAGGATCTATCTGTCTGTCTGTACATTTATCCACCTCATGCCACAGCCTCTATAGCCTCTTAGCAGTAGACCTCATAATATAACGTTTGTTGAGAGGGTGCCATGAGCTCTATGCTGTAACAGACCAGTGATTCAAGTCTAACTGCAGATTACATCACTGATGTCTTCTGTTCATGGGAGAGAATGGTGTCTAGGAGAGGTTGATGTTTTTTTCTTCATGGTTCACTGTTGCAATAAACAAATTCGTTAAGCATTGTCCAGAGCAGGAGATTTGAAGATTTCTGCTGTTCTATCTGTCTGGCAGCGTGTCTCCTCAAAAACACTGGATGCGAAAATAACCCATATTACAAAATGTGACATTAAAACATGTAAATAACGAAAAAAGCAAATAACACTGCCCAACAGCAACATCCGCAGGTGAAGTTACAGCGGGAGGCGCTGATCCCATTGACTTAAAAAAGACCCCCTACATGTCTGTGGGGGGTGATTGAGAATGAATGGGGAAAGTCACGTGAGAGGAGGCAATGTCTCCATCATGATATGATTGGATATGATTGGTTTGTGCGATAAATCCCGCCTCTTGTTTACGTGCTCATTCTCAAATTGTCCCGAATAAAGACATGTGTTTCTCAAACGGAAGGTTGCATCCTACGAAGGCTGCATTATCTCAGCTGCCACGTATCAAACGTCGCTGAAGGCCGTCTCAATTTGAAGGATCCTTGGAAGGCAGCCTTCGTTTTGCGTCCTTCATTTGGCCTGTTTTGAAGGATGCTTCGGATGTATCCTTCGTTTCCTTAAATCACACACAATCCTTTGCACACATTTAAATTCACGAAAATAAACGGACGGAAAACGAGTCTGTATTGAGCTTTACTGAGTTTATTATGAAATGTAAGACAAAAATGATGTTTCGGACATGAAATCATAGATGTTATCTTTTGTTTAGCTGTAAATGAATCACTTGACACTAAACTGACAAAAATGTAAGCCACTGGGAGACCTCAGATGGCTGTCATTCACTGTATTACATTAATAAAAAGACAGTTAATATAACGATTTGTAATACAAAGCATTTATCCAAAATTAAGTTTTAAGAAATAGCCTGAAAACATTAGCCTGGCTCCGCCCTCCTACGCACTTCCGCTCAATTTTATTTTCCTTCAGTACTACGTCTGGGATTGTGCTGTAGACTTTGGTTTCCAGAAATAATTTTTTTACCGGTCCAATCAGCGAACAGAGGGAGTGGCTGAGAACGATGACGTTGATGTAGCGCGTCAGTTTGAGTTGGAGTTCAGTAATGGCAGCGGAGAAAAACGTGAGAAAATCTATTCGGTCCGTTGTTGCAAAACTGCCGAATATCCAGAAGTTAAAGCCGGAGCGAGATCAATGTTTGCTAAGTGTTGTTGGTGGCCATGATGTTGTGGCCCTCCTCCCCACGGGGTTCGGGAAAAGTTTAATTTTCCAGCTCACTCCGCTAGTGGTGAATGAGTTAGCTAAGGCGAACGATAGGATGCAAAGCCGATAGTTGTTGTCGTCTCCTCTTGTTGCACTAATGGAGGACCAAGTGAGGGAGGCAGAAAGGTTAGGAGTTGGTGCTGGGCAGCTCGGCGTGCACGATGATCACTGTACAGCATTTGCGGCAGATCCGAAACGACCGCAGCGGCGTATTGTTAATGATTACACCCAGCTTCGACAGTTGACTGAATACATCACTGTCCTTAGTGTCAAATATACATTTAGAATTTAGAATTGTTCCTTGAACTCTTAAATTCGATGAACAAAACATGCAGCTCTCGTTGACAGACATCTTATTCTAAACATAATCCTCTGATCATTCGGACTTGTTTTTTTTATTGCTTAAAACAATACACAAGTAATAACAGAAAACATAATACAAAAACAAACAAAAAATAATAATAAAAACAAAACAAAAATAAAACAGTAGGGGGATAATATAAAATAAACATGAACAAGTTAAGAGAATTACATGACACTGAAAAAAGGAAAATAATTACAAACAGATAATGTTTTTAAGGCTTTTTTTGTTCTCAGACAACTTAATTGAAAAGAGGTATTTTTAAAATTCTTTCACAAATATAAGAAAGAGAGGTTTAGCATTTAGATATTTAGATTTATGAATATGGAATTCGGACTTGTTGTTTCCAGCCGGTTTCGGCGCATGACATACGTCACGACCACACGTTAGCGATTGGCTATGGCAGATCCTGAGTGACGCTGGGCAGATCCAATAGTTTTGAACTTTAACAGAGAACCCGCCTACAAGGAAGTAAACGTTTCTCAATGGAGCGAGGCCAGACTCTCTGTACAAATGAAATGTACGAGAGTCTGGTAGAACCAGGCTATGAAAACATAATGACTGCGGGGGTTTTAGTGATTAATCAGCTTGGGGAAATTAAAGGTTGGCCTACATCTTCTCATCTGTGACCAGTGTGTACAAGCTTGATGACCAAAAACACACCCATTACTCATTAAGAGAATAGGGACAACCCTGTTAGACCATGCGCCGGGTGCGCAGACCATTTAAACTAGCAAAAATGGATTCGGACATGCCAAATCCGTGGATTCGGGCACTCAGTGCACTTGCACCGT